AAGGTCCCCTCGCAGCCTTCTCTTCTCCAGGCTGAACAAGCCCAGCTCCCTCAGCCTCTCCTCGCAGGAGAGATGCTCCAGTCCCCTCCTCATCCTCGTAGCCCTCCGCTGGACTCTCTCCAGTAGCTCTTCATCTTTCTTGAAGTGGGGAGCCCAGAACTGGACACAGTACTTTAGATGGGGCTTCACCAGGGCAGAGTAGAGGGGGAGGAGAACTTCCCGCGTCCTGCTGGCCACACTCCTCTTGAGGCACCCCAGGATCCCACTGGCCTTCTTGGCACCCAGGGCACGCTGCTGGCTCATGGTCACCCTGTTGTCCACCAGGACACCCAGGTCCCTCTCCACAGAGCTGCTCTCCAGCAGGTCCGCCCCAAGCCTGTACTGATGCATGGGGTTAAGACCAACCTTTTATCAAACTAATAATGATTTTACCCTAACGGTGATTTCTACCCCAAACTTGTGTCAGAGTAAAATAGTCACTTTTTCATTTTAGTGATGCAAAAGGCTACAGATAGTTTTTTGGTTTTATTTATTGCAAATAATTTGCACCATCCAGTGGGCTAAATGTGATGCAAATGTTCTTTTTGGGGATTTTGGAAATTTTATTCGGGTAGAAGGGTGTAAGCAGTCGGATTGCTCCTGCTACCGTCGTCATTACACGGATGCATGGAGTCACATCCACTGCTGGCAACCATTAGCTGCAGGACCTGAAGTAGTAGCAGCACGTAAGTTGGCATTAAAGCAAGTATAAATGAGCTCAGATTGAGACCAAATGGGAAGGCTGTGATGCTAAATTGGAATTAGACAGTATAGAAATGAGAAGTGAAAGCCATCCAGGCTGTGAGCTCACGCAGATAATAGCTTCCACTTTTAGCATTCCAGATGTGGCTATAGGATGCTCAGAACTATTTCGATGTGTGTTGCTGAGACTATAAAAAGCCAACGAGCTCCCTGAGAAATATAAAATTTCTGTCCTATTTAGCTGAGATTATGGCTGGAGAGGCATGGTACTTACCAGTGCGTTATGAACTAGAGTAGAGTAAGTGGTGGGAGGTGGTCTGCGGTACCAGCATTAGTCAATAAATCAAAGTACATTTGTGGATTCCAGCACACTTGGGGAAAAAGCACTTGGGATTGTTTTATCTCCTTTTTCCTTTATTTCTCGTTAACAACCTTAACGTTACCATCTTAGGAAGCGATCGCTCACAACCCCATGCATCAGTACAGGCTGGGGCTGACCTGCTGGAGAGCAGCTCTGTGGAGAGGGACCTGGGTGTGCTGGTGGACGACAGGGTGACCATGAGGCAGCAGTGCGCCCTGGCTGCCAAGAAGGCCAATGGCATCCTGGGGTGCATGAGGAGGAGTGTGGCCAGCAGGTCGAGGGGGGTTCTCCCTCCCCTCTA